AAAAAAATAAAATCTATATAGAATGAAAGATCACAGGTGTTGTGGGGTGTAAGCCACAAAAAGGGAGGAGCAAATGTTGCTGTGTAGAGTAGTAGTGTGGTTGTAGCCTCGCTGGCTGCCTAAGAGAGATAATGTTGGTAGGGATGAGTAAGGTATACATTATCATTACTTTCCTCTATAAACAGCAGTTGTCCTCAGATGTTACATTCACTAGAAAACATTAGGAATTACTGAACAATTTCCCTGACAATAAACCACTGTGGTCAACTCACATACTCTGCTGGATTATTCAGAGCTCCCCATTCATACCAGCTGGAATTCCTCGTGGGGCTGCAGGGGAGGAACGCTAAAGCAGGTTGTCATGCTTACACTGTTTGCATTTTTGCTTTCCAGGATAAAAGATTCGATGTATATGCAAAGGCAGAAGACTGGTAAGAGCCTTGGCCATTCTTGGAGGCTAACTCCTCCTTAGTTCAACTCATCTTGCCCTTTGCCCTTTCCTGAGGAGGCACTCACAGTAGGACAGTGGGTTGTGTGGCCAGGTGTTGTGCAATTCACATGAGCTGAAAGCTAACGATGTGTGTAAAATTAACAGTGCATGTGGATAATCCATATTGAGACATGAGTAATGAAAAAGATGCATAAAATAGAAGAAATAATATTACTAGCCAACTGTCTTTGCACAGCTATGTCAGTTTTACGCTCAGCACAGCCTTTAACCTTTTCTTTAACACTGTGTAAGAGTGCAGCTGATCACCTGGTACTGCTCATCACGAAGTGGGTACTCTTTGCCACCTACTTCAAGACAAATGTGGGAAGTTTTTCCTACAGCTCTCAGTGCAGGCTAAAGTATGAGAGAATCCAGAACAGCAGAAATCTCAGAAATTACCTGCAGGAATGTCTTTCCTTAGGTTTTCTTCTGATAACTGCTTAGCAATTTAGCAGCCCCTCTTTCCACCACTGTTTCATGCAGCATTGTGTACCTGCTTGGGAGTGTAGGAAAGGCTCCTTTTGTAAGTGTAGTACTTTGTGGATCTGGTTTATCTCCTTGTATCAGTAACTGAGCTTGTCTACCAATAATAAAATAGAATATTATTTTTTTCTTGATCTCTGCTCCAGTCCAGACCACCTTGATGTGCGTTTAGGGTTTGACCTCTGCGTGCAGGAGCAAGACTTTCTACGCAAGAGGCAGAAGTATGTCGCTCCTGTGCTGAAGAAGGTCCTCCAGCTGGAACAGGATCTGCAAGACCATGAGGTCTGTAGGGTAAAGGTTCAAAACATCTAATGAGTGCTTAGCAGTGGGGATGTAACAGCATAATATGACTTTTTCTTCTTCCCAGTTAATTTTTTTTTCCTGGTCTTTCATAATCTTTAAGCTTATGTACACTTCCAATACTGCCCCATACCTGTAATCTCACCCTGCCATTGATATTGTTGATGTCATTTGCAGTTGCTGTCCTGAGTTTTAACACTTGTCCTACTAAACCTTCAGCCAGACTTGATATGTCTTATCTAGAAATGGCTTATTCCACAGTCCTTACCCTACCATTGTTATCCTTGTTGATAGTGCTTCCTCCTCTCTTTGACCTGTGAGATTTCTTTTTAGTTCCTGTCTTTACAACTGATGTTTTCTCTCTTACTGCCTCTTTTGGTTTGAATTAATGCATTTTCATTTGTTTTTTTACCAAACATCTGTGTTGAACACACTGGAGACAAGTGCAGTTATCTAAGCAAAAATTGTCATTGCTTTTATTCTTATTTTCCTTTACTAAATAAATGGTAGCTTATGTTTCAGTAGAAATCATCTGGAAATAAGTCTGTGTCTGGGCATGTGTAGCAGTGTCAGGCTTTGTGAAACGGGAGGTCTCTGCTGAGAACCACTGCCAGCTGCAGTCAGCTGTCTGACACCAGCCCTTTCTGTTCGTGCGTTGCACAGACCCCGGTGGTGGCCATCATGACCACGGGAGGAGGGATGAGATCTTTGACCGCACTGTACGGCAGTCTGCGGGGGCTCCAGAAACTCAGGGTCTTGGACTGTGCCGCATACCTGACGGGCTTGTCTGGTACTACGTGGTAAGTAGGACTGGGCAGCTCTTGGCAGGAGTCTTCCTGATGAGACCGATGCACTGATGTAGGCGGTGGCTGACATGCAGTAGTCTACCTATAATACCTTCTCAGCAGTCCTATTTTTTTGATCTTCTTCCAAAACCAACAGATTAAACTATTTTCGTGGAGGAAAGTAACGTAATTTGCAACAGCACAAAAGCAAATGTTTTTCTAGGAATAGCTTATGGAAAATTGCTCAAGCCATTGTGACAGGGATAATGACTGTGACTTCAAAGGGAACATGAGAGTTTCTTATGCAACTGAAGACAGGAAACCTTTACCTAATTTCAAATCAAGCACTTAAATAAGAACATAAGATGTAGCCATTGCCTACTTCAAACCTTGGTGTGTTTTGTTCCCTCTTCAATATATATTTCCTCTTCCTAGGACCATGTCAAACTTGTACAGAGATGCTGACTGGTCACAAAAGGATCTCGACAAGCAAATCAGTGAGGCTCGAAAACATATGATAAAATGCAAAATAAATTCCCTTTCCTTGGATTATATGAAGTATTACAAAAAGCAGCTGTGTCAACGGAAAAGAGAGGGCCGCAAAACATCTTTTATAGATCTCTGGGGGCTTATCCTGGAATCTTTGTTGCATGATGGGGTACAGTATGCCATAAAGCAGCGTTTACAGTGGCTTGCGACTTTTTGAAAATTAATTTCTGGAGAAGATATTTTCCTGTTTGTTCTGAGAGAAGTAGTTTGTTATGAGACTGTATGCAAATGTGTGTATGTAAATGCACAGCCGTTTCCAAAACATTTGGTGGCAGTCTTTTAGCCAACTGTGGTGGAAATCAGCATTCTTGCTTGTGAGATTTTGGACATGTTTTTCTAAGAAAACTCCAAGATTAATATTTTGAAAAAAAAATCCTATATTTTAATTGTATTTTGTATGTTCTACAAGTATCTTATTTAAAAATAGCAAAATTACAGACATTTTCTCAATGCCCATGAATGAGAGGTATCAACAAATGGACCAGCAAGCTTTTGAAATATGTGAGAGGTCTTACATAAATTCGCAGCATAATGCTTTAAGCTGGTTTATACCAAAAGTATCTGTTTCTGCCCTTCATAATTTCATTCCATTTTCATCCTAATGGGTCATCAAATAATCTGGCATCAGACTGGATGTCTGCAGATATTTCAGTAACAGAACACTTACAGGAATTTTGAAAAATATCGAACATTTCGGAATTTAAGCCCAGCACGCGTTATACATTAGAGGCAGAATTTTTTCTCCCCTACAAGCTTAGAGGCAAAGAAAATGTTCCTGTGCTAAATTTTGTCTTAGTGTAACCATATTTCTGGAATCACAGAAAGACAACCATAAACTCTCCGATCAGCAACGGGCCATTGATCGTGGTCAGAACCCATTGCCTATCTACACTGCAGTCAATATCAAAAACAACTACAGCACTCTGGATTTCAAAGGTAATTATGAGCCTTCTGAGAGTCATTTGTCTTTATATTTAAGCTGGTAAATCCTGGGACAGTCTTTTTAGATATCCTGAAGAAAGCCCTCTCATTTAAAGACCAGAACCTCAGCTGATGTGTATTTGTGTAATGCCCTTGTGGTCAGGTAAAAGTTTGACTGTCTGTGCAAGAGACTCAAAAATATTCCAAAGACTTTTCATGTTCACAAGTTTTCACTTATGCCATGCTTATAACTCATTGCTATTAGTCTGAAATATTAAACTTAACTGCAGGAATTATTTTGATTTTTAACTCCTTTTGTTCCCGTGATAGCAATATCATTTTTACCTGCAGCTAAGGGGCTGTAGTAAAACATTGTTCTCCTCTCTGTGTTCCTTTTCACAGAATGGGTGGAGTTCACTCCTTATGAGGTGGGATTGCAAAAATACGGAGTTTTTGTTCGCACTGAGGATTTTGGGAGTGAGTTCTTCATGGGTCGGTTGATGAAGAAGATCCCTGAATCCCGGATCTGCTTCTTAGAAGGTAAGCTATTGTCTTAAAAACATCTGAATGAGTTTTAATTTTTTTTAAATTGTGAGTTATATAAACTAAGCACTAATAAATCCCTGGTACATTACTGACACAGCAGTTTTGCTGGAGAGGACAAATATCTCATTGCTGAATTCATACTTACTATAACGAACTCTGTTCACTGTAAAAAAGAAAATTCCAAGTGACAGGCAAATACTTATTTTCATTTTTAAAGCTAGTTTTTAATAAAAATTTAGTCTCACTTCCAGTTCAGCAACAAAATTCAGGTCCCTGGGAATTCACGGCTCTGCTCGTGCTACTCCAGAGCCTCTTGACTCTCATGGGTAGTCAGGAATTTCTGTGCTTCCTATAGACGGTATACGTGAGCCTTCATGCTGATTCTCCACTGCATCAGGGTGTGTTTGAGCATGCCAGGTCCCTCCTGCTCCGCAGAGTCTGCTTTGGCCACACATCACTGGCTCCAGTGTCCACATCACCCTGGGGGAAAACAGTGTGGTGATATCCAGCAGCATTTTTGCTATGGACTGAAGTGGAGCATGGATACATGTTTTCCAAAGAGACAAGTTGTCAACTTGTCATGGGTTCAAGATGCAAACTTCTCTTCAACTGGCTACTTTACTTATAGTGAGGGAGACACTGTATTATTTTAGCCTAAGCCTATGCTGGACGTGCATATATTTGCACTCCCTGAACCAAAAAACAGTGAGAACTTGTGCCTAAGGGATAACCAGAGAAATTGTTTCTCAAGTGCAAAAATGCATGGTCAAAACAGATCCCTCAGCATGGTAGCAGGCTTATTCTCAAAAAGCGAAGCACACAAATGCAGAGGCTGTCAGATTACATGTAGCTAGGCCCTTATCAGTGTAACTCCTCATCAAATCTCTCAGATTGCAAACCTTCATCCTTGCTTTCATACAAGCCTTGTGATAATCGCTTTTTTTTCTGAAAAAAAACAAACTCCTTAAATCATATTAATTCACAAAAATCTCACCATTCGTTAAAATATATATCCAGCCCTGAGTACCACAAGACAGAATACCAAAATAAAGTTTAAAAACCATCAGCCAAATAAAATTGACACTTCATCCATTGAAAACAAACTAAAGGAAAGCATAAACCTCACAAATTTCATCCCATGAGAGCAGTTTTGCAATTCATGATATGTGAATATTTGAGTTAGAGAGCTCTTTCCTTTTTTCAGGTGTGTGGAGTAGTTTATTTTCATTCAATGTGTTATATATCTGGAATTTGTCCCATTCATCAGAAGATTTCTGGCACAGGTGGACTCGGGACAAAATCGACAATATAGGTAAATTGTAACTTTCCTTACCGTGTATTTCTTGTTAGATACAGTTAATGTTAGATAAACCATCCCACCCATCTGCTATGTGAGATGTGCACCATCTATTTGGTATTTTTCGGAGTGTTTCTTCAAAGGCCATATTGCCTTTCTGGAAGGAACTGTATTCAAAGTCTCATACTGCAAAGCATAACTGGATAATTTAAAAATCCCCAGTCCTGTGATCAATGTGATCACTGAGGGCTCAACATGGATGTTGGAAGATGAGTAAAATGTTCAGGAATAGTAAGATTGATCTGCAAATGATTAATAAAGCAAAAATATTTTTGCTACATTAAGTAGGAGCTACTGGAATACTAATAAGTACAACAGCTACCCTTTTCCAAAGCCTGCATGTGGTCTGTTCCACAAGCGTGAGTATGTCTGGTGCAGATGTTAATTGCTGCCTGTTAGTAGGCCTTGATTTTGTCCAAGTTTGGACTATGTAAGGAAATGGTATTTTGCTGGTAAGAGCAGCATTTGATTTTCTTTCTCATTTGGTTACTTGTGCTCATCGAGTCTTTTCATCCTAGACCTTTTAAATAAAGAAAACACTGAATTTTATTACTTACCTTGACATCTTGGGGGATGACCTTGCTCTAGGCAGGTAGAATTTAACAGCCTTTCCCTGTGCAGAGGAGGAACCCCCCCTACCGCCGAAGCCACATGAGCTGAAGACTCATATGTTCACCCCTCCCGGACCCCTCGGCAGTGTCCTTCGCAGCGTTCTCACCAACCGTCTCTGCATTGCCCAGGAGCACAACTTCCTCAAGGGTCTCCAGATGCATAATGATTACCTGGAGAACAAGCGCTTCTGCAGGTGGAAAGGTAACAGAAGAACCTGTGTGTCTGAGGAGAGAATAAACAAGCAGAACAAAACAAAAACCCAGATCTGATCTTAAACCCATTCTCCAAGGTTAGAGGCCATGTTTGGCAGAATCTCCATTAGATCAATCAGTTGTGGCACTCTGAGATGTAGGATGACGTGGTGTTGAGCTCCATGCCAATGGTTTGCTGGTGGCAGACACCTCCTGAGGCAGAGGCAGCAGGTCCTGATGGTGGTCCACCCTTCCTGTTTGAGACACACTCAGTGTGGGGGCACAAGAAACCGCTTCATGAGTGTTGCCGCTGCAGGTGCAAAACTGCATGTGGATGGAGTTGGGAGGGCAAAAGAGAAGGGATGTGGTGAATCTCCCTTCCCTGAAGATGGTAACCAGTTAGGGCTCTGTGGTCGTGGTGTAAGAGTGGAAAACATGCTAACCAGTTTTGCCTTATTGCACTTTCAGCAAGAAATGTCTTTCCTTTTAGATACTGTGTTAGACACGGTGCCCAACCAGCTGACACCATCAGATGAATTCCTGTCTCTGGTAGATACAGGATTTTTCATCAATACAAGCATCATGCCACTTTTAAAGCCAGAGAGAAAGGTGGACGTCATCCTGCATTTAAACTACAGTGCAGGATCCCAGACACAGGTGAGAGGAAATGAAGCAGTCTCTGATTTCTTCTTCAACAGCTGCATACCTGTAAGTTCTAACACTTAGGTGCTTTCTATATTGCTCCTACCAAAAGCCTTAACCACTAGCATTTGTAGCTTAGTGCTGCAGTGTGACACTTTGTTTATACATATTCTCATTTGTTTTTCTTGTATGATACAACTGTTCTGTGCTAAGAACTCAGGGAAAACAAAAACCTTCTCTCCACTGACACAGTGTTTTCCAGTAGGTGTTTCAGAGCTTTTGCACAGCTAGCTTGGAAAATACCCCCTTTGTTACTGGATACCAGGAAATCCTGGGCCCTGAAATCCTCTTTAAGTCTTAGCACTGTTCTGTTCATTGATACAGGCTCTGGAACAGACCTGCAAATACTGCTCAGAGCAGGGAATCCCTTTTCCCAGGGTGGACTTGAGTGAAGAAGACAGGAAAAACCCGAAGGAGTGTTACCTCTTTGATGGCGCTGAGACTCCAGGAGCACCAGTACTGATATTTTTCCCGCTGATTAATGATACTTTCCAAAAATACAAAGCACCAGGTAAGTAATCAAGCATGTCAAAAAAAAAAAAAAAAAAAAAAGGTTGATATCACAGCCAGCCTATTAGAGAGAGTATATTTAATACTCCAACACTTAAACTCCACTGTTGGCTCTTTTCAATACACCAGACCTCTCTGTTGCTTACAGTTATCTGTTTTACCAAGTTAGATTTGCTGTCATGGCAATCCTGTTTCAATCCCCAAGCTAGTTAGTTTGCAGGTAACTTTGATGTACTTACGTGAGCCACAGGCACAGCTCAGAACTGCACCGTAGACCCATGTGAAAAGGAATAATCACCATTTCTCTCCCCCATCATGCGAAGCATCTGATATCCGCCTGAGACAGGGACTGAGCTGTCAGTTTGAAAAGGAATTATTTGATTAAAAAAAAATTTAAATGCACAAAAGTAATTTAGATTATGAACTCTCTCTGTGGAGAGACATCTCCTGTCCCTGCTCTGTTAAGAGTTTGCTTGCTTATCCCCCCCGTCCTAGGCCAGAAGCGCTCAGAGTCAGAGATGGAAGACGGCGAAGTAAATCTCTATGGCCACTGTTCACCGTATTCAACATATTCACTCCAATACACTGAGAAGGTATTTGACCGACTGCTTCATCTGGGTGAATACAACATCCTCAATAACGAGGAACTCATTATGCAGGCCTTGCACACAGCAGTGGCACGGAAAAGGCAGAAAAGGAAATAATGTCAGACAAGGGAGGATGCTTTTGTGTCCCTTAACCCGCCAAGAGACTGAAGCTCTCTTGTGATCAGCCAGCAGGCTTCAAAGGATTCCTGCTCAACCCCACTTAATGGCAATCTCAGATGAAGAAAGAAGGCACTGAATAGAAACTGTTTTATCCAAAGAATTTCACTGCAGCAATTTATTGTAATTCAGCTGTGAGTGCGGAGTACAATTCCTTGTATCGCACAGAGGACAGACAACCACGAGGAAGAAAGTGTTAAGATGATCATGAGCATGGTGCTAGCTGCCTTGAGAAAGAGTTTGAAATATTTAAGTCTAACATGTTTAGGGCAGACCACATTAAAAGCATAATTTATTAACACGACTTGTGCTTTGTGTTTGTGAGGTGGTGGTGAAGCAAGACACAGCCTGTGGGCCAGGTTGGTGCCTGGGACTGTGGCACATTGTAGGCAAGTGTTTAGCGAAAGAAAGGCATGTCATATGGCATCCTGTGGGCACAGATCACCTTCAAGGGTGGCTTTGGGCAGAGGCAGAGGAGGCACAGGCCATTGGTACCAGATCAACTGAGAAAGCAAAAGAGGGTTGATGGAGTTCTCCACCCCTTGGCCACGAGGATCCTCTGTGTGCTTCCTCACTGCTTCTTGGGTACCTGTCCCTCTTCCCACTTCTGTTGTGAGTGGTAGTAGCACAGTGACCAGAAATACAAGCTGAGCAGAGCAACACTCTGCTTTAATCCCCCTCGGAACAAGAGCAAGGATGCGCAGGTCCTTGAATTCATGAGCCCCGCCTGCCCTTGCTGTTGGCTGGGTCTCACAGTGTTGGCTGGGTCTCACAGGAGCTCAGCACCTGCGGAATTAGGAGGCACCCACATGGAGGGAAAGGGCTTTACGTGGTCTCAGTGCGTGAAGGAAGATTTTGTGTTTTTTCAGTAGGGCACCTGAAGAGGATACACTTCTCCAGGAATGTTATATTTTTTCCTCTTGAGGTAGTAAACATTTTACCCACACTGTTGCTGTGAGCTTTGTGTCATCTGTGAAGAAGACAAGAAAGGTGCAGACCTATTACAGAGATCCCTGGAAGCTCTGGGAAGGTTTGCTATAGCAAGTACAACCTTCTGCACGGCAAGCTGCTGCAGGAAGGTCTGTACCTCCTGAGCTGTAGTTTCTCTTGGACTGGCTTCGTACAGACCAAATGAGTTATTTTATGTTCCTCGTGGAGCATTCACTTCTCAGTTAATAACAAATAGTAGAAACTCCCTAATTCCTCATAGATATCTGTTTTATTAACCGAAGTAATATTGAAAACATTAATAAAAATTGGACCAACAAGTGACGTTTACAGTGTGTGACGAATCTTTCAAAATAAGTAAAGCTTACTCAATATATGCATGCATCTCTTTTTCTTATTCTGTTGTAATTTGAGAAGAAGAGGTTGGAAGATGAAAATACAAATTCTTAACACAAGATTTGGATTCTCCCAGACCACCTATTGTGAATTATCAGTGATTTTTCAAGCACAATAATTTTGAATACATAAACATACTACTGAAAACAGTCAATTATATATTTAATTGCTTTCCATTCATAACTTAACCATTCATAATCCGTGTTTTCTATTTTGCCTCTTCTCTGTCTAATTTTTAACAACTTGCAGCCTAGTAAAACCACGTGTGGTTGCATTTCAATATTAGAATTCTTTGGATTGCAGAAGGACCCTGTACTGAGTTTCCATGGCAAGGTTTTGTTAGCAGGGTGGGGTGCTGCTGGGTGGCTTCTGTGGCTTCCAGCCACATTTCAAGGCTTATGTGCAGGATTTTATCTCTACTTTCCACATGAGTAGATAAAGGTATCTGCAGTGTGCTTGGCTGAGTCATGTCACTCTGAAGCTTTAAATAGCATCATCAGAGCCTGGCAGAGGGAGCAGGACACAGTGTTTCTGTACTGACACACCAGTCAAGGATGAAAGTGCCCTGTGCAGCTCCCTGTGTTAAAATACAGGAGAGGAGTGTCCGTGGCTGGGAGGGGTGTCTGTGAAATGCCTGCCTTGTTCCTGTAAGGGAGCTCTCTGGATATAGTCACACTTTTATTTCCGTTCTGCTGAAAAGTTGCAGCTTTAGCAGTATGGTTTGTCCAGGGTAGATTCTCAGGGGGGGTTTTTTGTGGATTACGGACAGGTTCTGACTCTCAGCTCTTCTTCACTTGGCATTTATCCTTCCACAATTAAACTCTGAGTGTTGGTCTTCTTGTAGTCATCCTGGACTGATTTTCTCATGACCAGTTCACTTTCTTTGCACAGTCTGAGTGAACCTCTCAAGGGATGGTTCTTATGGCTACAAAGAGGCCAGAAGTAGTTTCCTTTCAGAATACCACCAGTGCCTCCAGCTTCATCCGTTCACGCGTCAGGGGGGAGCTGGAGTATCTCCCACGTGGCTGTGTGCTTGACCTTTCTTCTAGGATGCCTCACAAATTGATAGGTTCTTTAAATAACTATGGTCATTTATAAAATGTCTAATTTTAGACATTTTCTGGGGGACAGTTTTGCTCAGTTGGGCCTAACTCAAGGTTCAAACAAGGCTGGAGGAGGCTTTTTACACCTTTCACATTTGAAACAGAACCAGGAGGTTCAGCAAGGAGCAGCAGGAGGCTGCAGCAAACAGGACGGAGAGGTCTCAGGAGAGATGAGGAAGGACTGTGAAGCTCTAGAGGCTAAAGCTAAGCCTGGAGGGATATAGTCAGGTTGTTTGGATCCTTTGCCTTTGCAATTGTTGTTTGCAAGTACGTAATGATGAGCCTTTAGCCCAGCTTTGAGGGACAGTTTTCTGGGACATTGTTTTCCCACTGTCGCTTGCTAAGTGGGCCCAACAGCTTGCACTTCTTTAATCAGTCCATTTTATAATGCTGTAGAGAGCTCTTGAATTATTGAGCTCTGATTAGCTCCTGTTGGCCTGTGGGAAGAGCAAAGGAAAACAGTGAATTCAGATTTGTATTTGTACTAGATTATTCATCTTATTTCTTCACATAGACTTATAAAAGACAGAAGTACCATCAGATCTTCTTGTTTGGCTTGTTGGATGTCCGACCTGTTACCTGCTGTTCTGCTACTCGTTAATCCTGATCACTTGTGTCTGACCAAAGCCTATCTTGAAGAAAAAATGACACCTCTCCTTTTAAAAACATTAGGAATGGTGAAGTCACATTTCACAGAAGTATGTTCTTGTGGGTGATCATCATCCAGCAATAAGTATGCACCTTGTTTCCAGTCTCATTTAGTTTGGCCAGAGCCCAGACTTTAGTCCTTGTTAAATCTTTTCCTATTAACTTAAAAGCCATTGCATCAGCATTGTTTCTTCATTAGGGTTGATTTTATAAAATATACCAAGGTTACATCAGGGTCTTCTTTTCATCAAACCAGCAGATTGAGCCCTTCAAGTTCTCATTATTAAAAAAAAATGTTTAATTGCTAGAGCCAGCTGTAGCTCTGTTCTTGCACTCCCTCCAACTCTTTGTCATCCCTTTATAGAATGCAGACTCCAGTACGTTTCCCAATATTGCTATATATGGAGATGAACATTGCTTTGTTATTCTTATATTCTTACACATAAATGACTTCCCAGTCTCTGTATGCAGAATCCAGTTGTCCTCATTTGCCACTAGAGACTTTGGCTGAGTGGCTTGTCTTCTGCAAGCTGGTGAGTTGCTGTTTTCCGCACCACAGTCTTCTCTTTCCTAAGGGGGAGTAAATTGTAACATACCTTTGTCAATCCTTTAATCATAACTTCACACTTAATTGTGTTAGAATTAACCGTGGTTAATCAGGCCAGTTTATCAAGCAGGTCAGATCGTTCTGTATGATTGCCCTGTCCTCAGTATTACTCAGCACTCTGTCAATATTTGTTCTACTGCAAATTTGGCCAGTCAGGATGTCATGCTTATTTCTTGTAATTGCTTTGACATCCTTTACAGATTTATTGTGCTCTGGCCACTGAAAGACAGCTCCAGTACCCTGGTTTGCAAGATCAATGAATCCATAGGAACAGCACACTTCAGTTTTGGCAGTATATTGGCATCACCTGTAGTACGTTACTAAAATAAGGAAATTAAAGAAGAATTTCTGTTCATAATCCAAATATAAATAATACTTTCACAAAGCTTAATAGAAGTAGATTTAAAAAAAAAAAAAGAAAATAAAATGAAAAAGATGTGCACAATTATATCTACCTTTTTTAAGATCAGCTCCAAATGGCTTTCCTGTCCTTTTATTTCCCTGCTATGTGGTTCTTAAGCTCTTTACCAAACCATATGGCTAGGCATTCAGTTCTTATGCAAGCCAGGTACATCCCTTTTTTTTGCATTCATGGAAAGTGTTTCAGACATCATTTTTACTCCAGATCTCCCCAGGTGGTTTTATACATACATATATACACACACACACATATACAAATGGAATTTGACTGGGTGGAACCATCTGCTGTCCAGACAGTAAATTGTATAGTTAATGACTGTCCGAAGGCTAATTAATTACACATCATCAGTCTTTTGGGGGGAAAACACTCCCTTGTGAGATGGAGTGCAGCTCTCAGTGTATCATTGCTTTGTATGCTGAAACCTGTATTTCCTATAAACATGCATGTGTTAACATATGCTGTACAAAATATAGGAAACATAAATGGTAAGAATGTATGTCACTTGAAACTATTGTCAAAATAGGCATTGCTATTAACTGCTTCAGTGATGATGGAGCATTTGGTGTGTACGACTGCCAGCCCACATTTTGGGGAACAGCAAGAGAACCAAGAGTGGTCATATACGATACTTGATTTTCAATTAATCAGATATTGTGCCTACTATTGCAATGGCAACCAGGGTGACTAATCTACTGCCACATCCCTCTTGCTGTTTTTGAGAAGTGGCACAATATTAACTTTATTTCAATCTTCTGCAGTTCTGCAGTATGCCAAGAATAAAAATAGCTGAACCATAGACAGGCAAGAATCTTCCTAG